AAAGTGATTTTATTAACTTTTATCGATGATCTGTTATTATACACACATAAAAACAGCTAACATCTACTTAAAGATCTCTTTCCTTCGAATCAAACCACACCATTCTGTTGGTCTGTTGACATAACCACTGTAGCATATTTCCAGGTTATCCTGCACACAATTAAACTGAAATCACTACTTGTATGCAATCAAATTATCCCGCAAAACATATGTTTTTTGGCCACCAATGCCACCAGTTCCTACCAGCCCCGAACCAAGCTTTACTTGAAGCCCAGCCAGTTCTATTCCTTGGTCGAGTGTCCCTCTTACATCTGGTCTGAATAAACACATTTGACTCCAATCTACAGCTAATCACATTCAGACCCTGCATCATTAAAACTTGTTCTCTTGGTCTCTCCCTCCAATTTACAATCTTTCAGTCACGCCTTGCTTCACTTTCAGACCTTAATAGATTACCTTCCCTTTGCCTGATCCTTCCTTTTTCATCCCCTGATTAAGGCAGAAACCAGGACGCTTACAATGTAAGCATTTTTCATTATCCTGTCATTATACATTGCACACCATCTTTTGTTCTATTAAGTCAACATGATCTACTGTACCGCAGAAGTAAAAGGGAGGACATGTTAGTATAAGGAGAGGAGGAAGCAGATGTACTCTTTATGCTCCTCTGAAACTCATATAACACCAGCCCAGGCTGGATTACAGTGGTTTGCAGAGTCAAAAGAAGGAGTGACTGCAGATCTTAACATGTGCCATATGGATTGATATGGTCTGTAAATGCAGAGGTCAAACAAGGTCAGAGACCATACAAATGATCTACACTACAAGACATGGAGCATACTCATATGGCAATTTTCTGGTGTTTTAGCAAATTTGGCCTTTACCTGATTCATGTCATACACCTGGTTGTCAAGTGTTGGCTTGGCTTTATTGGATGTAACTTTAGGAGACTGTCAGAGGAGCTTCTCTTGATCTTCTTTGACATTTTTACATGCTGAACACAAGTCTTGATTAAGCAATATTTTATTAAGACACGCAATGCTCTTATCAGCTTACAAGTTGGCAACCTCTGTTTTTTGGATCCGATGAAGGACAAAGGAATTCCATGTCTATCTGGGATGGTTTGAATTTCCTCTTTCTGGCCCATCATTAACTAATTTGTCATATCCCCTGTCTTGCCAAGGAGGCAAACATTGTCCAGCCAACTCAATGCCATTTTGCTAGCACATATTCCGCATTCTTTCTTCTGACCTTTAAAAATGGACGGTGGCAGCTGTCAAGTAAGACCCCCCCCCCATAGCCTTTTCTATGAACTTCCTCCCACTGCTGGAGACTGCTCAGAGGTCTCTCAATAAGCATGAACGTTAAGCGCATCTAGTGGGCCATCCTAGCTAAACTAGTGAACTAGCTTAAGGTCTGTTTGTGTTAAATAAACTTGTGTTCAAGTAATTTTAGGGTATTAGTCATAAGGAGTTACCATATGTTATGCTCTGTTCTTCAGGGACTTTTATTCTGAAGAGCAGGGCTAGTTTCGGGAAGGATGTGCATTGCTGTAGCAAGCTTAGTCAGAGCTGGCTTAATCAGGAGCCTGGCCACTTCCTACTTCCCTTGTTATATCAAAAACAGGACAGTAAAACAGCAGAGGGCGCCAAAACCAATTGGGGGTGAATGGAGCTAAATGGCTAAAAATGAAAAGTTAAAATAGTTTCTAATCACTGGCCCAGAACTTTCCTTTAATTTTAGAAAGTAGAAGGATGTACTTCACTAAAAAAGCAAAGAAAACCTGTATGTTTCCTTTTTTCTACAGCAAAAAGGTTTTGGGCAGCAGCTAGTATTACTGCTACTGAGTGCTGATTAGTTGGCGAGCGGAGCAGCTCATTGGCTGTTCGTGTTCACTGATATCATGCAACGCACATGAGGCACCATTTTAAACTCCTATAACTCGAGTTCTAAAGTGCCTAAACATATATAAGGATATGAATGCGTTCTTTTATCTTAAAAATGTTTAAACATTTATAAACTATGATTTTACGCAAATGTTCCATATTAACCTATTCATTTTGGATTCGCTCTGGAGCGCCCTCTAGCGTTTGAGAAACGCGGAAGACATTACAGAGTGGTAATTCTCCTCTCTACAAGTTCTCTGGCTTCGTAGTATAGTGCTAATAGTTCACTGTGTTTTCCCCTTTGTTTTGTAAACTGTTTTTGAGTTTTTGTGTAAAGCAAGTTATGGAACAGAACCATATTTTATTTTTTTCCTGTCCACTGAGCCAATATATGGTTCAATGTGATCACGTGAGGTGTTACTGGTGTTTTGATTGGCTGTTTCATGAAGCTAGTTTCACAAAGTTGGGACGCTTGCAACTGTTGTGGCAGGAGTTGCAAGACCCTTTACATTACACAACAAGTACATACTGTTTCATGTAGGTTTCAAGTAACTAAAGTTGCATAAAAGTTTCACTGTGTAAAGCCAGCTCAGTAACTACTATAAATTATTTTGTAACTTTTATAAAACTAATGTATATGTAGTTATCAGAATGAAGGACTGAAGTGTGGGCCACATATGAGCCCTCACAGTTTAAGGGGTTAAGCCAAGTAGGAGGCAAAAATGTCCCTACTTCCATGTCTTTGCCTCTCTCAATAGGGGGACTTACCTCGTATGAAGAGATATGTCTTTCTTCTCTCTTCTTTCTACTGAGGTCACCAGACAGATGCTGAGACATTTTATGAGTCTTTACATTCTCCACATCAATCTATTTTGTGCTGACAGGCATGAAAATAAGGTCCAACATTTCTTACCTTGAAAGTAATGGATGGGTGAGTGGAGTGAGGTTTCCTTCTAATGTGTGGTCTCAAAGTCCAGAGGGCCCTGCTGCTTCAAATCATTGGGTTTAAACTGAGTCTGTAGTTAATTTATTTCTGGTAAGTATTAATTTAATAATCACTGTGCAGCTCTTAGACATCAAGACACAGGCTTTCGGTAAGTGTTTGGCATTTAATGGTGAATTCAGATGCATTTGGGGTTTAACTGCACTCTTGAACAGCTGCACTCAACATCAACACTAACTGCACTTCACTCAACACCACTAGCTTACTGTGAATGAAAGGTCTGAGTGACATGCTGTCAGTGGATACATAAAAAATATGAACACCTGCACAATGTCTGCCATTTATCTACAGCTCACAGAAAATCAACATTTAAGACAAGCAGATATTCAAACTGGACAGACTATCACTAAACTACCAAACTATGATCGCAAAATCTTTTGGGATTTTTTCCATCTTATAAAAGAAGAGACAAAGTTAAAAGGTGTGTGTATTTTCAGATTCATCTATCTGCTGGGTTTATAGTGTAAGGAACTCTTCAAATACTCCTGATCTAAAACTATGCAACTTGTCCCAAAAAGTAAAAGTGCTCTTTTTTCAAAAGCTGTCATTGTCCCAAGTCATACCTGACCACTCCCTAGTAGCCTGCAGTGCATTTCATTTCTTTTTTGAATAAATGTCATTGGAACAAGAAGGGCTCTAACATCGATGCTCTTATTTATTTTGAAGTCTTTAGGTGATGATAGTGAGGCCACTTTTTCATTACTTTCAAAGCAGACTGTCAAAAGAGATGCCCAGCAAGCTTCCTGTCTCCTGAGGCGTGGACCAGATGTTTCACGACAGGAAAGAGCAGTGGAGGGCTTTGAAGAATTCACTCGATGATACTGCTATATTGAATGCATAAGGCTATAGATCATACAACATTTACAGGGCATACAATGATTTATAGTTGTAATGATTTGCAAGAAATGTAAGGACAGTCAATGGTTTATAGCAGTATGTGTTAGCTGTCATATCCAGAGCTGTCTATGGTACAGATAAAATGAGCAGCTGGTAGTTTGTTTCTGACATGGTTACACAGCCAGTGTCATATTGCTTGATGTCTGATCAAATGTTTAAACAACCATTTATGTCACATCCACACTTTTGCTTGTTATCACCCTTAATTTAAGGGTTCTTTAGCAAAGGCAAAAAGTTAAATAAAGAACCAGGACAACTATAAAGAACAATTTGAATATATAAATGGCTCTTTTATCATTGAAAACCTGCTGTCTATTGACCTTATATTGTATCATTGCTTAGAGAGTGAGCATAGTTTGCTGTGCAGATGTCAAAAGAAGTGGTCAGTTGCAGAGGTAATACACTAATTGCAAGACCTAGGCCTACGTTGATGCTGTGAATACTCGTCTCTGGACTAGTGGAACATGTGTAGAAAGTATCACATCTCATTATTATCAGTATCATTATTTAAGCAGATTTTAGTGCATTGTGTCACCTGATGCAATATCAGTTAGCACAACTGGGTGCACACTTAAAAAAGATGATTCTTCAAGAGTTCTTTAGTAAAAGCAACCATGAGTTCTATATAGAACAATTTGCATACCTAATTGGTTCTTTGCATGGTGAAACGATTCTTCAGATCTGCTGTTCTGTACAGCACCAAAAAGGATACTTCTATTCTTATGATATCAAGCTTGCAACCGTAGAAGAACCCTTTTTGATGCTATACAGAACCATTTTCAAAAAGGTTCTATACAGAACCATATTCAACACATTCTCCATCAAGCTAAAGAACCATTTCACTGTGCAAAAAAAAAGCTTCTATACAGAACTCAAGGTTCTAAATAGAACCATTCCCAGAGCCCTGCTGGTGACATCCCATATAAATAAAAAAAATGCATGGCCACACCTTATTAACGCATGGGAACAAGATCCTAATGCGTGGCCACAACTTAGTAAGGCGTGGGAATGAGATAATTAAGTCGTGGCCACGACTTGGTAAGGCGTGGGAACAAGATCATGCCTTACTAAGTCATGGCCACTCATTAGAATCGCGTTCCCACGCCTTAATAAGTCATGGCCACGCATTATTTTTATTTATACAGGATGCCACCAGCGGGGCTCCGCAGAAAACCCTTGAAGAACCATCTGTTTAAGTGTGTAGAGTATCTCACCTGCCAGTCATGAGCTGACTCCGGGAAGGGCTGCACAGAGGTTGTACATAGTAGTTCTCCAGCTTGACTCCCGTTGCAGCGAGCCAGTCCAGTGTCGGGGTCTTTATTTCGGACCCGTGGTAGCCCACGTCTCGAAAGCCTTGGTCGTCGACCATGACAAAAATGATATGAGGCTGGGAGGTAGGCTTGTCCACTTCGTTCGCGCGACTCGTGTGGAGGTTGTTCGCCCATCTGCCGTAAGTGCAGCTCACAACGCTGCAGAGACAAAACCCGGTCAGAACTCCCAGCACTAACATGGTCGCCTCGGAGCTCACAGTGAAGCGCTCGGAGCCTTCGCTGTCAGTCTGCGGAGGACACGGAGTCAGAAGCTGCGAATGGAAGTGTGTGTGCTGCCGCCTCTCCTCACAGCGTGTGTGTCTGCCATGGCCGGAGCGCGAGCTCTCTCGGCTCGAGGACGCGCGCGCGAGCGGGCGGAGCAGAAGCGCTTGGGGATCAGGTTCACCCCGAGTCTCCGACCGTCACCGCAGAAAACCACGACAACTGAGAGGCGACTTTCGGGAAGACAGCAGTAAGAATCACCTCAGAAAGTCACACATTTAAAGCTGTCGTTCTGTATAAACTCCTCTCACAGCCGTTAGCCTGACGCTAATTACTACCTCACAGCGACTGTGGGCTGTTCAACGGTTCACTGCTCACCGATAACAGCACCTCCTCAAACCTACTTATGTCGAAAATAACAGGTAAAACGTGTCATTGCTCCTCCAGGTTGAGCTATGTTTTACACAGAGTTTCTATTCTAAGTCTCCTCTGCCTCTTTCCTCAGCCCACGACTCTGAGCCGCCGTCTACATTAAAAGACAACCTCACTTGTAAAGTGACCAATGTAGCTTTCCACACTTCTCAGCTTATCTTAGCCGCCGTCCCAAGACTCCTCCCTGCTCAGGCGGAACTTCAGCACAAATGTGTTTTTTAAGTTTTAATGGTCTGTTTCCGTTGCCCATCAGCCTACCAGCCTGGGCAGGATGGACTATCTTCTTAGAAGCTTAAAGGGGACTTCCACTGATTTCCCAGACTTTCTGCATTACTCTGCACTGAGATGTAAACAAAGTCACTCAGAGTATCTTGATGTGAAATTGTTTATTGTTCATTTACCAGCTCAGATTTCTTTACAGTGCTGGTGATAGGAACCATGGGTCATAATGGATACAGTGCAAATGTAGCCGTTCTATTTACTATTCAAACCAACCTCAGTTTGCAAAATTTGTCTGGCCCACTTGTCTGCCACATCCTTGAGTTTGTTCTGGCCCAGAATATGACTGTCTCCTCAGCCCAGATCTGGCCCAAACACTGTAAAGTGAGTAGAAATACCAAATGTGGCCCAAATCTGGCCCAACTACATTGTTGGCCCCTAACATTGGGCCACAAATATAGACACAAGGCAAAACTGTAGGGCCTGTTCTGGCCTGCATGCCTGTTATCTGCCCAGTAGTCATCCAGCACTCATGTATAAAAGCCAGAATTGGCCCAGAACTGTCTGCTATCTGGGGACCAGTGAACGTACACAAGTTTGTATATGTAATTTTGATAACGTAGTGTTAAATCATCTATGTCTTTGGGGGCTGTTTTGCCTTACAACTCCTGCCGTATACCTCTCCACCATGAATGGATTTAAACAAGCTTTAGGCCAAAACTAAAATCTTAAAACTATCCTAAAATAATGTCAGGCATCAGGCAACATATCCATAACTATTTCATCTAATAACTTTCTATGATGTAGCTTTTAGAGGTGCCAAACACGTCAGACATCTGGTTCTTTCACCACCACTGCAAATCATTCTGACTCAGCAAGTTTCTCTAGAATGCAGTATTTCACAACAAACCGCTTCAGTAACTTTGTTTACATTTTAGTGATTTAATTCTGTAGAAATTTTGAAAAACCATGTCTAGCCTATTACCTGAGAACCAGTCAGTATATGCTGTTCAAAGTTTCCTCAAGGTTTTCACTGTACTAGACTTACTCCACGCCAGACCTTCATATATCAAAAATAACAGGTCAAGGATGTCATTCCTTCTCAGGGGTGTGCTGTATGATGCATAGCTTCTATAATAAATCATCCTCTTCCTTTTTCTTCAGTTTACTTTTCTGCCTACATGAAGACAACTACATTTGAAAAGTGGAAAATGCAGCTTTTTTCCACTATTGTCAGCTTATCATAGCCACCGTCCCAGGAGTTCTCCCTGCATCAGGCTGAACTTGGGCAGATTGTTTCAATGGTTTGTTTCCGTTGCCCATTAGTGCAGACAGCTCAATAACTGCTTAATACCATATGGACCCATAATCTGCATTTTTCAAGTGTTTTATTTTTCCCTGAAGAAGTTTGTGAGGGTTAATGTACCAAAACAGACATAATTCATTTTTATATGACTGTTTTCCCACTGCCCTTTCATGGACCTAAGCCAACAATTTACCATATCTCAATAGCAGAATCTCATAAATATGATTATAAAGTGAATAGATATGTGGTTTTCAGTTAATAACATGCATGTACCCAGACAGCAAGCATATATCTGTCCGCTGGTTTGACAAGGTCGGCACCCCACTGACTGTTTGCCACTTCTGGTCCACCCTCGGACTGCCCAGATTATTGTCCTGCATACAAACTCTAACTAGTTTTTAATCTCCTCAAACAGATTTTAAATTCACAGAGACTTTAATGTTAGAAAATAAACTTACACAAATTTTACAAACAACCGAGAGAAAAAAATAATGACTAGGCCTGATATAAAATGATTCAATAGAAAATGCTGTTGCTGACTCTGTGCTAGATTAAACTTATTTACTAATCTAATTTACAAAGTATAACTAAAGAAAGGAAGGAAGGAAAAATCAGCAAATTGGACTGTGAATGGAAAATGAGCGATGATAAGTGGACTTTTGTCTAATACTCTGCTTAACCGCCAGTGGACCGCCTGGAAAACGCTGAGCAATATGCTAGTGGACCTCCAGCTTTGCCATTAGTGGGCCAACAGTGGACCACTGTCCTCTTGCTATCAGGGCAACTTGCCGTGGAAGTCCAGTGCAACATCAAAGTTAAACTCATCACTTGTGAACATGTACACTACTAAAGAGACTGTTCAGTTCAGTCATCCCTAAAAAGAGTTTACTAAAACTCAGATTAATAACTGACTCATCACTTTGATTTATCAGTCCACTCAGGCTTTAGAAGGAACTTCAGTGTTTGTAAAGAAGTTATTTTTTGAGCTCTTATTTAGAGTGTGTCTTTACATGCGGTGTGCTGATTTTAAAATACTTAATACATGAGCATTGATGATGTTTCTTTTAAAGATGGTGTATATTTTTTAAATTTGTTGGGTAAGAATTTTGAAAGTATTCTCCTAAAAATGTTCAGAAGTATTCTTAATACAAAATGTAATTGATCTAAATATAGATTTTCATTTTTGTATTCTGAATACATATTCCCAATACTTGTATTCTGTTACATCCCAGCCCTGTCAATAAAAGCACACTGTTCAATACAAGAGTAACACTAAAAACTGCTTTACTGTCATTACAAAATTTTTGAGCTAGTCGCACTAGATCAGCCACAATCTACTGGTTAAACTACTTGCTTATTTACTACTTGCTTATTATACATAAACTACTTGCTTATTTTGGCTTCTGATACTATCACGCCATCGTTACAGATGAGAACACAGTAGGGCTCCTCATCCTCAGATGATTTTAAGACTAAGTTGCTTTTCAGAAATCCACCCCCATAGCCTTAAGTGCAGTTTTTCAAAACATACACATCCAATATACACAGTATGGTTATTCCAGACTTTAAATAACCAGTCTCCTACTTAGACTCCTTTAGTGACAGGGTCATGTGTCATACTGTATGCAGTCTTAGCCGTCCCTCTTTCAGGTTTCCTGTGTGGCTCACATCATATAGAAGTCCTGCCCTCCTTCGGCCTGCATTGAGCTCGAGCTTGTAGAAGTAAGAAAACACTCATTTATTCTGCTTTATCTCATTCATTCTGTTTATTCATTCTTGAGCGACTCCACAGCTGTTTCTTTAACAGTATTCTGCATTACTGTGCATGGTGTTCTACAATGAATATGGTAAGAGAGACCTGTGGCCTTCATTATGGTTTCATAGGTTAAGATTGAAAACTAAACTGTGTTACTGCACAATTCACATAGACTTTCAGTATGTTAATCCTTCACTTAATTGTAACTCTGTGGACTGACAAGCGAATGTGAATTCAGTGACCAGGGGCATAGCCAGAACTTTCACTTACTGGGGTGGAAAAGGAAAAAGGAAAAAAATATGGGTTGAACTTACTCAACACAATTACTGTTGAAGGTTAGACTAAAAGACAAACCTGAGTTGGTGTGTTTTGTTTGTTCATGAAGAAACAAGTGAATAAAATGCATCACTTTTTTTTCCCAGTGCATTAACATTAACCCCTTTAAATTTCCAGGCTTTTTACATACTAAGGCTTATTATTCAGTAACTACAGGGACTTCAGTGCAAACTGGTTGAGCTTTTCATAGGTCATAGAAGTGTGTAATAAAACTTTGACCTTGCAAGGGTTAATATTTTAGGTCAAAGAAGTTAGGCAGCCCTTGCTGCTGGTCACTCATGAGTCTAAAGCAGCCAGGCAGCTAAGTACAGGCATATGTCTTTGAGCTGACCTACGTTTAACATGAACGTATTCCACATTGGATTCAACTCTAAATCTAGCCAGAAAACACACAGCTGTAAACAGGAATTAGTTAACATGACAAATGATTATAGCTGAGTGATTATGTATAGTTTACGTATATTACCTTAGCCTACTTCATGTACTGTAGCTCACAGAGCAGCACTGCTGAAGGGACACAGCACACAGTGGAAATGAGAGTTCTGGGCAAATGACTAACATGGTCATAATTCTATGTAGATTAACCAAATGACATACAGTTAACCACATTTTGAAATGTATTTTCTTGCTCTAGAAGAGCAGAACGTGATTTTGTGCCTGGTTTTGATAGGGTCTGAAAAATACTGTTTATTTCTTGTGTTATTTTTACTGTTGAACAGTACTTATTATACTGGTTAAAATCTTTGTGTGATCCATGTCATGTGATCACAAAACAAAGTACCATGAAGATTAAGATGTTAACTGTGTTCTGCTGATATTTTAAACCAGTGTTTGCTGCCTCATTAGGCAAAATGAACAAGACCAGCATTATGGTTCTGACCCGTGTTCTCACTGGTTTGCTTAGCAGAGTAGTTTATGATCATGAGTGATTTGACCCTTATATCTGATCAGTAGCTACCCTGTTGAAAGGTTTTCACCATAAGCATAACTATTTGTACAGTACAGGCAGGACAACTTTAGGTGGTCACTGCTTTATTGATGATGACTGTCTCACTGTGCATAAATGGGGTGCCCAGAAGGCTGGCCATGCTTCATGCTATGATGGCACTGGCCACCTCTGGCCATTCTTTGGCTACGCCCCTGCACTGAACAGACCTACCTCAGCCTTTCACAGTATAACTCAGGAGAGAGTGAACCTTGAC